ATACAAGGTGCTTTGCTGGGGGAGGGGGCTCTTCTATCTCCCTTTTTTCTTGTTGTGTGCATGTATATGTGTGTGTGTGTGTGTGTGTGTGTGTGTGTGTGTCCACATGCACACATGTATACATACATCTATGCCTGGAGGTCAGAGGTCAGTGTCAAGTGTCTTCCTCAATTGCTCTCCACTTTGTTTTTGTGTGGCAGGGTTTCTTGCTGAGCCTGGGGCTCACTGATTGCCTAAACTGGCAGGCTAGCAAGCACAAGAGTGTCTCCTGTTTCTGTTTCTCTGGTGTTGGAGTTGTAGGCATGCATTGCCACTTCTTGTACTAGAACATGGGCCCTGGAGGACCACCCTGGTCCTGTGACGCTAACACAACACAGATTTTCAGGCACATCTCAGTGTGTCATGATGTGGGGCATGGGTTGCTTTACAACTTGAAATATTTTAGCACTTAGGCTTACACGGAGCTTTGCCCCACTAGAGCACAGTGAATCACAAGTCAGTGGCTTCCAACACAAGCATAAAGTTACCAACCCAGAAACACCCTGTGGGGGCAGTGAATGGGATTGCTTTCTTGAACTAGATGAAGGGAGTTGCTTTTTATTCGAATCCAGTGGAAACAGCAAGGGGAAAACACCCCAGAATACAGATCCATTTCACTAAGAACTTTCAGGAACTGGAGACTATGGGATGGGGATGGGAGTAAGAAGAGAACACTGGTAAATAACTGCAAATGTCAAGATTCCATGAGGCTCTGAGGATAGTATAGATTCCTCCAGAAGTGAAGAAGGCACATACAGATATGCACGTCTAGTGGCGATAAAGAGAAGGAAAGCAATGCCAACCAGTCATTCTGCAGAAAACTGATTTACAGAGCCATGCCTCACTGTTCATGAGGGACCGTTGTCCTTGACTTACAAAGTCATGCCTTGCTGTTCATGAGGGACTGTTGTCCTAATTTACTGTCCTCCACTAGGGGAACTGTGGAAGGCAGACTGCTGTAGGGCAATGCCCTGGCTCTGGTTGTGGCTCCGCTAAGTCTGGTTCTCTAGATCTAACAGATGCTCATCTTTCTATGAGAGGCTCATTCCTCTATGAGAGGCCTGATGGCTAAGACTGGATGAACACACTTTATTCATGAGTTCTTTTACACATCACCATTAAACTGTTTCAATATGAATGATTGGAGAACTGTGGTATTGCTTCCAAATGGCCAAGAGGTAGTTATAAACGACACCCTTGACACTGTGGTGTCCATTCTTCACATGGGCATCTCATGTTTTCTAGAAACTTCTTTTCAGAATCATTAAGTGCATGGCTAGCTTTGACAGGTTTTCACAATGATGAAAAACAAGGCTATTAACAAACGTTCTCTTTATCTGTATACAGATGATGAAATTACTCACAAGATCTTTCTTTAGCACCCTCCTACCCCAAATCCTGTGTATAGCATTCAAACACTCCAGGTAATGACTAATTTGAGGCATGCACAGAGGCTTTCAGGGATGCAGACGATTTGGCAAATGCATGTGGATGGACAAAGACAAGCAGCCGTGGAGAGGCAGAGCTGTGTGTGTTTGGAAGGTGCCAGTCCCGAGAGAAATAGCTCAAGATGCCTCAAGAAGGACCGTCCCAACACTGCTGTAATTTGGAAAGAATTTCCCTCCTGTACAAAAACAACTATGTAATAAGTTTGGATCTTCTGGAATTAGAAACTTTCTAGAAATAATTATTCAATGGTTATTTTATACTTCCCTGTTACTGTTTTCTGGGTGTATTCTTCTTGGCCAGAAGCACAAATGGAGCGAGCGATGAGTGTAGACTATCCCACAACACAAAGGCTATTGGCACCTGAGCTTGTGTTAAAGTCTTAGCAACAAGAAGGTAAACAAAGGCACAGTATAGCTCTTTCACAGGAAAGCAACGTGTTCAGATTTCACATAACAGCTAATTTGGGACTGTCACAGGATCCATCTATCAAGCCAGCTTCACAGAGAAACAACAAGGAGGCAGAGACAGAATGTCAACATGAAGGGCTATTCCTCACTCAACTAATACATAACAGGATTGTCATTTTGGCCAACAAGTCCTAAGTACCAGAAAATAAGAACATGACTCAAGGGTACTAATAACACTGGCTAGTTCACACAGCAGGGGCACTTGAATATTTAAGAATGGAAATGTGTCCTGGTGGTAAACATTCCACTCAGAGAGGTGGGAATGATACATGTAAGAAGCCTGATTCTGTGAAACTCTCCCTCCATGTGTGAGCATGCTGTACACAGAATGCATCTAGATTGTTCCAGACAAAGAGAGTTTTCATTCAGCCTCACGTGGCAGGGTGTGGGCTGGAATGAAGCCATGGGTGTGTGCACTGGGTGATAAGTGATGATAGGGGCTTGCTTGGGGGAAAGCCCAGTGTTAACCTCCAAAGAAGGGCAGATTCTATTTACCCATGACCCGACTTGCTCCACACTAACCCCAGGGTAATGGGGTCACACTATCACCCAAGATTTCCCCATTGTGTCACTATGGCCGGTACACAGCAGCAGTTCTCCAGATTATATCCCAAACCAGATATGGATGAATATGATGTATACTGTAGTCTCTAGCTTGGCCATCTGGCTACTCAAAGAATTTAAAGGCACCTAGTAAGCATTGTGTAGGTGTCAGTCTTAAGACCTATGGAGGTGACAAAAGACATTGCCATGTCTTCCTCCCCTGAGGGGATACAAGCCACAGAAAGCATAGCTCTCAGGCTGAGAAGGAAATTGTGGTTGTGCATTGCCATTCACTGCTCCATAAGTAACTCCTGATAAAGCCATTTTGCTCATTTTGACAAACTTGCATAGGTGCTGAGTTGCTGGTACCATCCCAGCCGGGAGGTAGATAGCAATTTTACATCTCCCTGGATAGGCACACACTCACACCACATAGAGGCCATGGGAAGAACATCTCCTGGGTTTGAAACTAGCTGATTAACAATACTGTATGAGAGGGGAATTCCTTCTCTTCTACCCATGGGAAGGTGAAAGCCCAAGCAGGGGATGAGGGAGCAGATCTGAGTCTCCTAGCTCTTAGCTCCAACCAGTAGTTCCCCACACAGATTTCCAAACCCAAGGTACAACCTAAGTGCAGTGTTTCTCCCAAGAAACGAATCTTTATAGAGGCTAAAGTGTGTCTGGAAAATAATGAATAAGACATGCAATGAGGTTCCATTCTCATTTATATTTAGGATGCCGTGATGTGGAACAAAATGTACACATAGAGATCTTTTAGCTCACTTGCCATGTGAATATCAATTGTTCTTATCCAAAAGAGAGACCCTGAACATCTTTGTCTGGCTGTCTGTCAATCTATCACCCATCATGAGCATCTACAACACCAGCCTTTCACCAATCCACATGTCACTTTGAGTCCTTAGTAAGGCATGACACACAAAATGTGTGCTGGGAATTGGACAGGTACCCACAAATCACCATCAGAGGTCAGATCTAAAAGCAGGGCCAACACTGCTTCTCTGACCTCCACAGAGTTATGACGGTCTCTGAAGCCGAGGAAGAGCTCTCCATAGCTCCCCACACCCAGGCATCTGGACCTTGTACAGTTAAAGAAAGAACTTGAAGTCATTTGAGTATGAATTAAAACAGCAGGTCATCTTTCATCCAACTGTCCTGATCTAGCTCTTCTAGCATTGTGGAAGACATACTGAGTGAGCCGAGCTTTGGAACTTTGCAGCCCCTTCAGCTCTGGCCCATGTAGGAGAGAAAGGCTGTGGGCACAAGGCTTTCAGAGTAGAAACCTGTGGGTCAGTACTGATGAAACACACTTTTCCCCTTTATCAAATCTGAACCACCAGTTTCAATTGTAGAAGAGAACTGGCAGGGCGGGGGGGGCTGGCAGGGGGGGGCTAAGTGTTAATTTAGCTTCAAAACTACTTAGACCATTTCCTCGTTTTCCCAGGTGACAATCTCTACTCTCTCTCCTTATAGAAATCTTCCCTTATTTTACTATGATGTTTGAAAATGTCCTTGTCTAGAAGCAAATAAGAAGACAGAGTTCTTTGATAGCACCCATCCATCATCAAAGAGCTTTCCATTCCATTCAGAAAATGAGGGAGGTGTGGTAGAGGCCACAGTGTGGAGTCTAAACAACTAAAGCATTGCCAAGTGACAGTCCAGGAGAAGAGGCAGGGTGCGAAAAGGCTGAGTGCACATGGGATACCTTGATGGTATGGCAGTGTGGAAACCTTGGTGCATGCTGGGCACCCAGGACACAAGCAGCTGGGGGAGCTGGAAACCCCTTTAGGAAATTCCATGAAGGCCATCCCAACACACTTGAACTTTTTCTTAAGGACTGCCAGTGAAAGTTGTTAAGCTCTGGAGATTAATATCTATTTACTATCCATGCTCTGGGGAAAATGAGGGGTATACATTAAAGTATCAGAGACCTGGTGTGAGGCCAGCTGGTCCTACAATGCTGGTAAAAATCCATGAAGGAGTGCCTGGCAAAGGCCGGAATGAAGAGGCATTGGTGAGATGTAACAGCTTACAATAGGATCAGGTCAAGGGAAGGAAGAGAAACTATTCACGAATTTCCACAGGCCCCAGGATCTGGAAGGGCAGATATGCACACAGATCTCTTCTGTGGTGGTGTTTGGCTTAGGGATTACCCTTTTCTTGAATCTGAGCAGTGGTGAAGCATAAAGTATCCACACCCATGGCTTCCATTGGATCAGAACTTATCGTGGATCACACTGAGTTTACTGAGGCACCTTCAGCAGGTGATGAGTCAGATTGCCTCAGGGCCAAGCGCTGTGCTGACCAGGCAGCTAAAGGTTTCCGGGGACTCTGCCGTGTAGATACAGGAAGGGGCAGAAGATAAGCTATGGGCTCCACCTGAGCACACCTAGCTTGAGCAAAGCTGGTCAGGTACAAATACCAGAAGGCTGCGTGTCTGTAGGCAAGCCTGCCTGTTCTCCACGCCACCACACTGCTGACAACATGAAGTTCACAGTAAGTCGGATCCTCCTCTAAAACTCAATACAACTGGAAACCATTAGTAGGGGTGAGAGAAGGGTCTGATTCTTGTTGCGCTGTTACCACAATGGAAAGAATTCTTTCCTTTTTATGGAATCATGGCGTTTACAAGTATGTCCACAGAGAAGAGTAAGTGCTCTGGGAGGGTCCGGCACAAGCTAATTGTGATCGGCTCACCTTCCACAGCACTGGCTCCGGGGTTCTACTCAGGCCAAGCAGTCTCTGGGCTCCAGAAGGTGCCTGATCTTTCTTATGCTTGATTCTGCTTTTGTCAAGAGTCCCGGGCAGGTTCTGGTTGGCTCAGAAGGTCTGTTGTTAAAACCAGTCTTCAAGACTCTTGGCTTTTAACTGGCCCTCCAAGAAATAAGCGTCCTTAGGCCCTGTCCAGCATTTCTTTGAGAAAGGGTGTGAGGATGAAGCAAGCTCAGCTTTTCCTCTCAAGTCCTAGAATGCAGAGGGGCTGAAACCAAATGGATATTTTCTATTGCAGCAGACTCCATGGGCTCTGCCTTATGATGGGATCATAAATTATGCAAATTATGACCTAGAAGTGTCCTCCCCAGAACAGGTTGGATAAAATCAAGGAGAGTACCAAGCACAGGCTGGAGGGTTGGACTTCTCTAGTTCTAGCCTGAGCAGGGGCATGCCTTTGTCTAGGGCAGTGGTTCTCAACCTTCCTCATGTTCAGCCCTTTAATACAGTTCCTCATGGTGTCATCCACAGCCGTAAAATTATTTTTATTGCTGCTTTCTAACTGTAGTTTTGCTACTGTTATGAACCATAATGTGAATATCTGTGTTTTCTGATGGTCTAGGCAAGCCCTATGGGAGGGTTGTTTGATCCCCCAAAAGGATTTCTATCCTCAAGATGAGAACCACTGGTCTAGGGCCCTTTGCTCCTCAGCAGCTGCCTTGGGTACAGGAGATGACATTGTGCTCAGACACTTCTTCCATAGCTGGTTCTTTAAGAGACAGATTTTAAATCTTTGTTAACCTGACAATAAAAATAATAGAAACACTTAACCCACTGAGAAAATGGTAAGAGATTTCCTTCTGTTAGGAAGAAAGCATCCCAGGTCAGAGGAAAGAACAGTTTCCAGAGCTTTCATTATACTGTGTATGCATCAATTTTATGTTTTATTCATCAGTTTTCAGTGTCTAATTCAAAATTCTAAAACTACATATTAATATAATTACAATAAATCAACAATTCTATATTATTATTAATTTTTTCTGTAGTTAGAAAATACATGTGGAAGAAGAAAACATGGATGGTTTGGGATGTTGGTACAATTAATAAATATTTCTGACAAGTTTGGTGGGGGGAGCAGGTGGTGTAAAGTGTGTGACCACTAGCTCTGTTGTCTGTGCTTTCAGGTGGTCTTCGTCGGCCTGCTTGGGCTCCTCATAGCGTCTGGTTTTTCTTACGTAAGTCTCATTTTCTGAAACCTGTTACCAAAATGCATTTACAAAAAAAAGTGATCTTAAATCAGCTTCCATTTCTCATTCACTTCAGACTATCAACAGCAACAATGAAAGCAACGTAGGAGGAAGTGGTCCGCAGGCAGTGAGCATCAACAACCAGCACAATGTGGCCAACGTCGACAGCAACAATGGCTGGGGCTCCTGGAATGCCCTCTGGGATTATGAAAATGTAGGTATTGGACATACAGAGCAAAGATACTGCACACTCACCAGCCATTAAAACTTTCAATGTGAATTCTAGTTGTCCATGAGCATAGCTACCATGTTGCCCAGACGATTTTACTTTTTACACTTAACTATTGGTGATAAATGTTACACAATAGGCTAACATTCAAACCAATGAGCAGTAAGGAAACTATGTTCAAAGACGAATACAAGGATCCATTGGCCTTCCCTGCAGAGAGCCTCCATAGTATGAAAGGTCCATGATATGGAAGGTCCAACATTTCATCTTTAACTCAAAGAGACTAAGTGAAATATGAATGACAATATTGGTTGTAAAAGGAGGGAAAGTTGGAAGGGAACTGGGATTGTCATGTAAAACAATCTTGTTTCTAATTCAAATAAAAGAAATCTGAGAAAAAAAGGAAGGAAAGCTAACACCATTTGATCCTACTCTGCACTTACTATTTTTGTTTTTCAATTTGTACCTTTGGAAACAAACTCCATCTTCTCTGCCTCCTAAAAACTTCAAGGGTGGAAGTTGACTAAGATGGGACACCCAACAAAGTTTATTTCAGCACACACACACACACACACACACACACACACACACACACACACACACACACACACACACACACACCCCCTCCTACCGTGTTAGAACTGAAGCCGAGGTAGTGGGTTAGATCCCTATTTCCACCCTCTAAGAGCTCGCAGGCCATCTCTACATATTAACCACAGGCACAACTGCAGGACAGCAGGCTGCAGATCACTTATCCCAGCTCCTCATGACAATGGAGCTCGATTTCCCTCAGCTGTGACTAGGCATGAAGCTTCTGGGGAACCTGTGCCTCACATGTGCTTTCTCTCTTCTTTAACAGAGTTTTGCTGCAACCAGAATCTTTGCCAAGAAATCGTGCATTGTGCACAAAATGAACAAGAATGTCATGCCCTCTCTTCAAGAACTCGACACACTGGTCAAGGAGCAAAAGGTAAAGGCAAGCCTTGTCATTTGGAGTGAGAGGTCTTCTGGTTTCCAGTAATAAAGTTACACCCATTCCTTCTTTGCACAGCATGCCACCATGTTTGTCATGGTAAATGGCACGGTATAAAGAATGCTAGGTGACTGCCTGAGTGGGGGATGTTTCCACTATACCACATGCTATGGCACACACCTGCCTCTGCAGGGTCCATCCAAACAAAAGGTCTGCACACCTCAGTGCAAGCCCTCAGTACTTCAAGGACACACCCCTGCAGTAGTCATGGTTATCAGAACTGGCAAGCACAGAGACTGCCTAGATAAGCTGGATTTCAGATAAAAAGAAATCATTTTTAGAGCCTAAGTACATCCTATACAATGTTTGAGATATTCTTAACTTTAAAAGGATTTGTTGCTTGCTTGAAAATCAAATGTCCTATATCCCCTGTCAATCATAGCTGCAGTAGATGCAAAGAGGGAATCCATAGTTTTCACAGGCAGATGCCTAGGTACCTATAACCCACAAGGTAGAGAATGTAAATAAGCTCTATCCTCAGAAGTTATCACATAGTCCTCCCCTAGAATCTAAGAAAGCTGTTTGATTCACATTTCAGGATACATTTTTGCCTCAGACTTCTGTTTTTATGATTTCAAACCATCTAAGTCCCTCGGGGCACTTAGAAACACCAAGACATTCAAAGCTAGAATTCTCTCTTTTCCTTGATTTAAAAAAAAATGGCAGCCAAGAAACACCCCTAGTGCCCTTGTCCCCTTTAGATCAGCAAATCCCCGGACTCAGCGCACACTTATTTTCTTTCTTTCCTCTTCACACTCAACTTCAGGATAAAGAGCCTGAAGGAGCAACTCCCAAGGAATTGATGTTCTCCATCAACCCTACCAGAGTGGAGGACCTGAGTACATTCGGGCCAAAGATTGCTGGCATGTGCCAGGGCATCCCAACCTATGTAGCCGAGGAGATTCCAGGTGTGTACCCCCTGATGCTGTGCACCCCAAGTCAGTGCTGGTGGAGCCATCAGACTCTGTAGTGTGACCCCAGATGGTACCAACCTTGTGGGGTTGAGCGTCAGAGCAGACATTTCATTAGCATGTGCTTCAGAAACATTAGTTCATAAGCTCCCGGAAGCAATCTTAGAATCCACAGGCTCTACTGCTCTATGAGTCTTACTTTATGGAAACTGAGGCACAGAGAAAGGTCCCAAAGCCTTTGTCAGGGTTAATCCAAGCATTTGGCTCAGATTCTGTGTTTAAACATTATAGAATACTGTCTTTCTTGGGTGGGTGGGATATAGAAAAAAATCCAAATGTCTTCAAAAGAAAGCACAAAAACATGGATGGATAAATGAAAGGAGACTGCCAATAAAACCTTTGACTTCCTATAGTTCCAATGCTTATTTCTTGGCATTCAAAGAATACTAGCCACAAGGTAAGAACATAATCTATCTACAACTTTCCAGGTCTCTGAAGTGGAGAGACACAGAGAGAGAGACAGAAACAGAGAGAGAGAGAGAGAGAGAGAGAGAGAGAGAGAGAGAGAGAGAGACAGAGACAGAGACAGAGACAGAGAGTAGAGAGGAGAGAGAGATCTTGAAGTTAGTGTGTACCTTAGAAATTATGTGACACTCCCCACAGTCCCCAAAGAGTCCCAGGACAGCCACTGATCCAAACTTTTGTTTTCGCCAGGACCGAACCAGCCTTTGTACGCACAGAAGTGCTTCACTGCTAATATACTGTGGATCATCAAGTTGTCCTTCTGTGGAACGTCAGAGGAAACATATTAGAAGTCACTATGGATTTGATCATCAGAGAAATAAAATGTGGGCTCTGACCATTGCTACACCCGACTATGAGAATGCTCTCTGAGAGTTGATTAACTTCTTTAAGGCTCAATAAACCCACCTGGCACCACATACAGTTTGTACTGACATTCCTCATGATTTCTATGAGAGTACAACATGGCGTATGTCAGACACACCTGTCAGCCTGTATTTAAGACCTCTCGTATTTAAGACCTCTCCCTTAGGAAGGACCCCTTCAGAGGCTTCAGATACCACAAACCACAGCCTGAGGTTGGGCTTAGATTATGCCACCACTCTCTTGCTGGTATATGAAATGCCATTTCAAATCAGCAAGGACAAACATCCACTCAAAGTGGCCATAATCAGAAAGGGGCGTCTTCTACAAGGACCCAGGAGTATCTGTAACAACCCAAGGAGATGCTGGGAATGAGAGACTAGAGACTAGAAGCATACTCCTGCTGATACTGAGAACCTCAGATCGCTTCTTTCCCCAGAATGGCATGTTCCACCCCTGTAAACTCCAGCCCCTCCTTCATCTGAGATGAGCTTGCTTTTCATCATATATAGGACAGGATAGCTAGACCAGAAAGTCAGCCTCAGTCTTCATGTTCATATGCCTTCCCAGATCAAGAAACATCGCCTAATGTTGAATCCCACTTCCGTATCCCCTTGACCATATCTGGTTCAATAGTCTACAACCTCCATTCCTTGACAGACCAAGAGTGACATCATAGGGTACCCAAGCACAAGGGTCTCCACCAGAGGAGAAAGATCTGGAAGAAAATATTCTCCCACCATTGTGTATAGTAGCAACCTGCACTTCATTTTAAAAGTTGCTTCCATACATTTTTTGTATGTTTCTGGAAGTCATCAGAAAATTCTTACTCCATTTCTTTATCTTTGTATGAGTTATCCCTATGTAAACCTAACAAAACTAAACAAGATACTGAGTTCCACCACTTAGACATTATCTATATTGGCTAGTGTCCACTGGTAGGAAGTTATAGTAATTATTTTCACTATGTTGTAGTTTCATCACTTTTTGTAAACTAGTGTTACTTCTGAAATATTCTGAAGCCCATAAAAGCAAAAAACCTGTCAAAGATCCATCAAAGATCACAGCTGTAGTGGGTTGGAAAGATGGCTCAGTGATTAAGAGCACTTGCTGCTCTTCCAGTTAACCCTGGCCCAAGTTTCAGCACCCCCATGGCAGCTCACAATCATCTATAACTCAGGCCCCAGTTGATACAATGCCCTTTTATGACTTCTGTGTGCACCAGGCATGCATGCAGTGTGCATACATACATGCAGACAAAAATGCATACACCTGAAAAGACCACACTTGCAGATGTTGCTTTGATGAAGGAAGCAAAGAAAGAAAACTAAGTTCCAGAAAGTGTGTTCAGCGTCATGTACCTGACTTTGGGAAATGGTGAAGTCAATGTTTTGTAGAAGAATTATCTAGTATCTATTTTGGATTAAAAACAAAACCTACTGGGAAGATAAAAATTCTAGATTATATAAGCTTATCAAAATATACAAGGGAAAAACTATAATAACTTCAAAGAAAAACAATTTTACTATCCTAGTTGAATATTTTGTATACCCATCTTTTAATTGCTTATGCATGAAGAACTAAGGACATTGGCAAATGTCCTTAGATCAATTACCTTATTTGAATAAGAATATATAGAATATCACAAAATACATATTTCCTATAAGCACATATAGAAATTATGTAAACTAAGATATAAATCAGATTCAATTTATTCAAATCATTAGCATCATACATGACACTTTCTTTTAGTTTTGACTTATTTGAGACAACAAATATTTCCCCAAATGAAACAAAATAATTTCATTTGTCCTGAAATTGTGTGACATGTTTCTTAATAAGACAAGAATTGAAGAAAAGTTAATGATTACAAGCAGAGCATATGTTATAACATGAAATAAGGAAAGCCCTACACAGAAAACCATGTGAGTAGTGTCCATGGCCATGTAAAGAGGGAATCTGGAGCCTTAAATCTTCATTTTGTACAAAAGAGAAGGTTGAACATTGAGCCAGGCCTTCACCATTAAAAATGAGAGAAAAGTGAGGCTGAAGAGATGGCTCAACAGTTAAGAGCACTTGCTTCTCTTCCTAGGTACCCAGGCCCAATTCCCAGTACCTACATGGCAGCTTACAACATCCATGACTCAGGCTCCAAGAAATCCAACATCTTCTTCTGGCCTCTGAATTCATATAGGAAAAATACTCATACACACTAAAAATAAATAGGAATTTTTGTGAGGGAAAATATGCTATATCTAAAGTAAAAATAAAAACTAACATCACAAATCATTAAAATAGAAATCAAATATAAAATTCTGAAGGATCAGACAGAGCCTTGATTAGTTCCACTTTAGTTGTTTAGTTAACCTAACCTAGTTAGCCTAGTTAGTATAAGTTCAATGTTTCTTCTCACACAAATTTCTCAATACTATTGACAGGGCATGCATGGATTTTGGAAGACAGTGCTGTGATCTGCATCAACATCACAAACTAAGCTTTAGATGAGGTTTATGTCCTTTAAGCTTATTGTAAGAAGCCAGAGTCGTAGGGGACACACACACACACACACACACACACACACACACACACACACACGTACAATCTCATTAAGATCTATGCCTGCCCAGAGCCTCTGAATCCTTTAGCTAACCACCCAGGGAGGCCAAATCCACAATACTGCCTTTCATGCTCCAGGAAAGCAAGTGGCTCCTCCCTCCTCTATTCATTCATTCCATGGAAATTGCTCAAGAAACAGTGAGATTCAGCACAGACATCTCTCCAGCAATTTGCTAAGAATGTCCTAGAGAAGAAATACAGAGAAGGGGACTGCCCACAGAGAACCTCTCCCCTTTCTGCCCCCTCCCTACAAGGTTCATCTGGGCAGTGTCAGAGTTGGGCACAGCTGGCATAGCCCATCTCTTGTGGTACCCACTGCAGAGAGTAAGCTGATGCTTTGGGCAAAGCTGGAGTTACACACTGGTTCCTACACAAATGAACTAACTGCTCCAGAGCAGAGCTATATCAGCCCCATCAGTCAATGACTAAAGCCATCATGGCATCTCAGCAGCATTCATGACACACACAAGTAAGCATCTTCAACCAGGCACCGTCAGCTAGCCAGGAGCTGGCAGACTGAAGCCACACCGTCAAGCTGAAGTAAAGATGAGGGAAGTGACTCTCTGTGCCCTTCTCGGGTGACAGGGACTGAACAGTGTACTCAGAGTTTATCACTGGAACAAATGGTGAGATGAACTCGTGCAACTTTGTTTTCAGAATCTCGCTAAAAATCAAAGTGGGGACAGTAAGAGCAATAAAACTCACCACAGCTGGAGAGGAGTGGGGTTGTTAAGCTTACACCTCCAGGGCACCGATTAACAGCAAAGGAAGTCAGGGCAGGAACTCAAGCAGAAAGCAAGCAGAAACCACGAAGGAGCATTGCTTGCTGGATTGCTCAGGCTCATGGTTAGCTGGCTCTCTTCTGCAGCTCAGGACCACCTGCCCAGGGGATAATACTGCCCACAGTGGACTGGACATTCCTACATCAATTACCAATCAAGACAGTTCCCCACAGACCAACCTGACAGACATCCTCCAGCTGAGGATCCCTGTGCAGGTAATCCTGAGCTGTGGCAAAGTGATATTTAAAACCAACCACCACACTACCTCTACCTGATGCTGTGTGTTGATTTACACAAGCTGCACTGTGGGTTTTTCTTCCACACCTCACTACATTTTATCCATCACCAAAGAACTTGTAGTTGTTAAGTCTAATGAAGACCTTACAGGACTCTGCATCTGTGCTCCAACTGACACACATGACTGTTTTCCCCTATTTCTTCTCTTTCTATGCCAAGCTCTTCAAAAACATCTGTGTTCTCTTGGGTTCTCCCTCACTACTCATTTCTTACTCCTCTTCATCACCTAAGGCAGTATTTAAGCACACACATAGCTCCAACTCCCATAAGTCACGAATTCCAAAGTTCTTCCACCCATGCATTGATCCTGAATGTAAAATGCACGGAGCTAGTTTCTGGATTATAATTTTGTAATTAAATGTAAAGCTGTGGTATTAATTAAGAGGGATGGAGAATATATTGGAATCTTTGGAAAGAAGATATATGAAGGGACATCTCAAGAGCAGGGGGCAGTCAGTTCAACTGGGGAGCTATACTGCTCATATAACTGGATTCATATAACTAGATTCAAGTGCAATGAAGACTAGAAAATTTAATTGTAACAGTTATATGTTAGAAAAACAAGATTTATGGGGAACTATCAACATTTGGGGAAAGCATTCCAAAAATATCTACTATGTGTGCCTAAAGTGCCGTTGCTTTGCTGGGCTTCGATGTTTTCTTTCTCTTTCCCACAGTTCCTGAATTGAGTGCATGATCAAGAATTGTGCTTTAAACTGACCTCATTACTTAGGAAGTATGTAATGAATTCCCATGATGTTTCTGCTTTGTAAGTTTCTGTTCCATCACTAAATCATGGCTCTTCCTTATCTGCCACCCAAGGTTTTCCTTCTGTCTCTGGGTGGATCTGACTGTTAAGAAACAGTTTTCTGACTATGGGTCTTTATTTCTTCCTTATTGGCTCTCAGACCTGTAACAATTCCATTGAGTGTTCTGTCTATTTCGACCCAAAGATAATAATTTCCCTTATCTTTCTTTCTTTGTTTATTCACTTACTGCACTGTTTTCTTTGGGTTTAAGGCACAAGTTAATATGGCTAAATTCATAAGATGGTTAAGATTGCACAGCAATCACCCATGGTGAGAAATACAACAGAGAAGAAAACAAAGGCTGGAATCACAACACCCTTCATGCCTTGGGTTCTCCATTTTGACAAGTGTGTTCTGGCTTCGGAATTGGCCCCTACTCGGGAAACTAGCTGACCTCATGCCTAATAAGTGACACATGATATCTCGGTTTTTACTTTGACCACGGGAAAGAGCAATGCTTTCAAATACGAGGATCCAGGATGAGCCAACCTCTTAGAAAGCCATCTTGGTTGGGCACACATTTCCTTACATCTGAAAATCTGTCCCAGTTCTTACTGCTCTCAAGCAATTCACAAGGGGCTCAACACTTAGAGCAAACACATCAGATAAACGGATATTTCATTAGCTACAGCTCCATTTGCACATTGCTCTGGTGAGTTCTGATGGGTTAGGAGTGGGCATGAGCATCCTGGATCTCTCACATATGCCGGAGGCAGTTGGTATAGCTCAGATTTTAGTCTTATTATCATGGGCTCTTCCATGATGACTCTTAGGTCTCCTAGTGAGAAGGAGCTCCCTAGAGCAGAAAGAAACATTTGTGTTCATTCACCTCTGGAACAAGTCGTCCTCGTCCTCATAAATGTATCACTGAGGATGTTATTATTCTCTTGGACTTTTCATGGTGTGTGGAAGGGACATGTTGAGTTTCCTCTCAAAGAGAGGATGAAAATCATTGGGCCAATAGTGGTTATACATTTCTGCCTTCCTGATAATCTCTGTTAAAGCACAAGCAATTGTTATGTATCCCCCACTCAAAGCACAGGGATTTACACATAATAAGTATATTAGTTACTTTGTCTCATTTGTTGCAACAAAAAATAACAAGAAAGCAACCTGAGAAAGGGAAAGTATCTCTTGTGGCTCACATTTTGAGGATACAGGTCATAG